CAGCACTTGTACGAGTAAACCATTTTTATTATCCTGCACTTGTCCTCAGGCTGCAATCTCTGACATAACATGGCTGAAGTTTAACAAGCAAGCCCGGGCTGAGCTTGGTTCTGGCAGCACACATTGCAGGCTGGTCTGGGGAAATGTCGTTCCAGAGAGGTGGGGCAAAGGCAGCCCTGCCATGGAATAAAAAGCAGGACAATGTAGCACTTTAAAGACTAACAAGATGGTTTATTAGATGATGAGCTTTCGTGGGCCAGACCCACTTCCGGAATCTCTGTGACAAAATGAATAAGTACATCAGGCAGCTTGTCGACACCGTTTCCCAGGAAGATTCTATTGCTATCCGTGCATGCATCAACGCTGTGTTTGGCCACAGTGAAATGGACATCCCGTACTGCCCCCTCTCCCCGACTGCATAGACCACCCTGCATGGCTGCTGTTCACTCAGCCCCCAACCTGGCCCACCGGCATAGCAACTGCTTGCCAGGGAACCACCTCCAATCCCACCCTGCATGGCTGCACCGCCAGCCCTCTCAGCCAACAACCCCACCCACCTGCAAACAATGTCCCTTCCGTTACTTCAGCACATGACTTCTCAAACGATATTGGAGAGGAAACTCAGCAACTCACCACGGAAGAGAACAGCTCCTCGCACCGGACTGACCTCACTCTTGCCTCCTAGGCCTCTTCAGTCTTTTTACCAACTTGTGTCTGTTGTGTATCCGGGACAAGTATTTCTGGCTCTTTTCTCTTCTGACAACTATCCACAGTGTCCTAGGGTATGGTCATAGGCACCTCACCCAGAATTCCATCCAGCTCTTTATAAAACTGGCATGTTTTGGGTGCAGCACCAGACCGGCTGTTTGCCTCCTTTGCCTTATGGCAGGCGTGATAGAGATCCTTGATCTTGGCTCTACATCATAGGATTGTCGATGCTGTCCTGAAAAAGTCACTTGTGAAGGGAAAACTTCTGTCACTACAAACTACCAAATCTAGTGACATTTGCTATGTGAAAGTATGGAGCTCAAGGAGTTTTGTCATCCAAAAGCAGTTTTTTCTTGACAGAACAAAATATATGCAAGTGAAGACAAGGCCTAAAGCTGTTGTTTCCACGTCCAGGTTTTGGCAATGACAGTGCCATCAACAGTGATATTTTCCAAAACTAGAAAATCACCCAACACTTGCTCCACAAAACTTTTGTTGTTTATGAGTGCTTAGCATGCCCACCTGTGAACAGCAAGCTATTGATGCAGCAAGTGCACTTGTGAATGCTGCAAAACCCACTTATTGAAGGTGGAAGTATTTTGTTGGCAAAAGTGTCAACAAAATTATTCACATATACCAGCTTTTGGTGACTGGGTACACTCGTTATAGATGGTTCATAGTCATTTTGGAAGGACATAACGAGTGAAGTTCCACAGGGATCAGTTCTGGATCTAATTCTGTTCAATAATTTCATTAATGATTTGGATAATGCCATAGAGATTACACTTACAAGGGTGATACCAAAGTGGGAGGGGTTGCAAGTGCTTTGAAGGATAGGATTATACTTCAAAATTATCTGGGCAAACTGCAAAAATGGTGTGAGGTAAATAGGATGAAATTCAATTAGGACAAAAGCAAAATACTTCACTTAGTAAAGGACAATCAATTTCACACATACACACTGGGAAGTGACTACCTAGGAAGGAGCACTGCTGAAAGGTATCTAGGGGTTACAGTGGACCACAAGCTAAACATGAATCAACACTGTAACATTGTTGAAAAAAAAGCAAACATCATTCATGACCCACGAGGGAAAATTGACAGAATTGGGTTTGTTTAGTTTGGAAAAGAGAAGACGGAGAGTACATGATAACAGCTTTCAAGCACCTAAAAGGTTGTTACAAGGAGGAGGGGGGAAATATTCTCCTTAACTTCTGATGAGAGTACAAGCAGCAATGGGCTTAAATTTCAGCACGGGAGGTTTAGGTTGCACAACGGGAAAATTTTCCTGTCAGGGTCACTAGAATGAATTGCCTAGTGAAGTTGTGACATCTCCAACACTGGACATTTTTAAGGGCAAGTTAGCCAAGCACCTATCCAGAGAGCCGTGCATATCCGCAGATAACAGATGTGATATGATATGGAGCACAAGCTAACCATGAGTAAACAGTGTAACATCGTTGCAAAAAAAAAAAAAAAGCCAACATCAGCCAACCATGACAGAGATCCTGGGAGGAGCTCGCCTTCCTCTACACAGGATGGGGAGTTGGTCACTTTCAGGTTTAAACTTCTGTAAACAGTAAATTCTCTGTAACTTGAAATTGTTAAGCCATGATTTGAGGACAACAGGAACCCAGCCAGAGGTTAGGGCTCTATTTCAGGACTGGGTTAGAAATGTGCAAGAGGTCAGACTAGGTGCTCACAATGGTCCCATCTGATATTAGTGAAAGTATCTGAATAAGAATACACATGTCAGTTTTAAGGCCATAAGTGACTTGCCACACAATGTCAGAACATGTTTGTGTTTCAGCTGAGTGGGTCTCATATTTATTTAATTTTCTTTCTTTATGTAGGAATTAGATGAAGTGCTCCTGTCCAATAATTGCTAAATTATCTTCATAACCAATAGAGTTTTCTGTTGCCTAAGTAGCCCCAATTGCACCCCTGTGGGCAGGCACAAAATTTGACCCTGCTAGCCCCGCACGTGGCCACATTTGCCTGATTAGAACTACAAATATAGACATGAAACTATGCTTAGTCAACCACTCCAGCAGTGAAGATCTTGTATTGATGATGCTGAGATTCAGACCCTGAAATCCAGGTCTGGGGTAAAGGATTCATTGAGTTCTCTGGTCCTTGACCTTCAAGATATGCAGTAAAGGACAAGTCTGAAGAGGGTACCAAGTCAACCTATCAGAGCACAGAAACTCCTCTTAGACCCTGCCTTATTCCAGCTGTGCAGAAAATAATGATCAGATCAACTGACCCATTCAATATAGCCTTCATTCTCCATTGTCAACACCTTGGATCCACTACCGGCAACTAGCTTCACACTATGGGTATGTCTACACTACAAAGTTAGTTCGAACTAACTTTAATAGGTGCTACACTAGCGCTCCGCTAGTTCGAATTTGAATCGAACTAGCGGAGCGCTTAGTTCGAACTAGGTAAACCTCATTTTACGAGGACTAACGCCTAGTTCGAACTAGCTAGTTCGAACTAGGCGTTAGTCCTCGTAAAATGAGGTTTACCTAGTTCGAACTAAGCGCTCCGCTAGTTCGATTCAAATTCGAACTAGCGGAGCGCTAGTGTAGCACCTATTAAAGTTAGTTCGAACTAACTTTAATAGGTGCTACACTAGCGCTCCGCTAGTTCGAATTTGAATCGAACTAGCGGAGCGCTTAGTTCGAACTAGGTAAACCTCATTTTACGAGGACTAACGCCTAGTTCGAACTAGCTAGTTCGAACTAGGCGTTAGTCCTCGTAAAATGAGGTTTACCTAGTTCGAACTAAGCGCTCCGCTAGTTCGATTCAAATTCGAACTAGCGGAGCGCTAGTGTAGCACCTATTAAAGTTAGTTCGAACTAACTTTAATAGGTGCTACACTAGCGCTCCGCTAGTTCGAATTTGAATCGAACTAGCGGAGCGCTTAGTTCGAACTAGGTAAACCTCATTTTACGAGGACTAACGCCTAGTTCGAACTAGCTAGTTCGAACTAGGCGTTAGTCCTCGTAAAATGAGGTTTACCTAGTTCGAACTAAGCGCTCCGCTAGTTCGATTCAAATTCGAACTAGCGGAGCGCTAGTGTAGCACCTATTAAAGTTAGTTCGAACTAACTTTGTAGTGTAGACATACCCTTTGATAGTAGCCATCCTTACCGTACTCCTCCACGGTAAAGTTGTGTTTCAGCTCCCCAGTGTCCTTATGCACCTTCACATTGTAGGTCCCCTGGATGGGCTCAGAGATCAGGGGGAATGAGAGCTGGGTGAAGCCCCCTTTCAATGCAACTTCTTGCCACTGGTGCACACGGTTCCGGTGTGGGTCCTAGAAGTGTCAAGACAACAGTTTACAAGAGGCGATGCATGTGAGAAATTAGAAGCATTGGCAGAGCTCTGTGGGGAGACAAGAATTAGACAAACATAGGGGGCACAAGCCAGAGCTGAGGGAAACTGGCAGGGCTGTGTGCGCGGAGCCCAGGACTGGAATAGCAGGGGGCTGCAGGGCAGGGCTGAGGGGCACTGGCAGGGCTGTGAGGGGAGCCCAGGGCTGGAATAGCAGGGGCTGCAGGGCAGTATTTGGATGCATTATTGGCTCTGTGAGAGTAAAACCAATCCTTCTTGCCGTTAGCACTATGGGTCTTTCTGCCAAACAAAATCAGCAAGAAGCAGCTTAAGGCTGCCAGGTGCTGATTGCTGCCAATGGTGAGATGATCATATATCATATATCAGAGATGTGATATCATATATCAGAGATGTGAATGCTCTGAACATGAAGTAAATTCCTCTACATACCTCAATATAGACCAGTGGAATCTGGAAAAGAGTGCGAAAGGGAGAATGAGTTCAAACTTCATGCCCCAGATGAAAATATCAGCAAGTGCTGTAAAGGATCTGAGATGTTAATATAATCAGAACAGCATCTTGAGTGACACCAACTGAATATAAACTACCAGGGCTTAAACCAAAATGCGCTTCAGACTTAAACCAAAATGTCCCTCCATAGGACAGCACTATATAAGTGGTTGCATTATGTGATTTTTAAAGCTTCCAGCAAGGCATATCAAAGAGAAGTTAGTGTTGATGCAGATAGACAACTGGTCTTTTCAGCTGTAGCAGGGAGACACGATAGCAGCATGGCAATGTGGTTTAGAAGGGAGCAGAAATGCCAGGCTATATGGTCTGATTGCAGCTTCTACAACCCTAATAACAAGGATTGTTTGCTTATTTGTGAGGTAGAAAAAAAGGATTTGTCTGTGGGCAATGCCATTCCGAGATCTGTGTGTTATGTTCTTTTCCAAATGAGATGAATTTATGAAGTGGTCTGAAGGAGGAGTCCTAAAGTCACCCTGGCACTGGAGTCCCACCTTAATCTGGGGAACATCTCCTTTTGTTAGGGTACTTTTCTCATCCTTTTGCACACATAGATGATTTAAGGTGTAGCACACTTACCACTTTATTCAGAGGACGGAAGTTTTCATCCAGACAGACAATACGAAACAGGACTGAGAAGAGAGACAGAAAGATTTCCATGATGAGACATTCAGCCACCAAAACAGGAAATGGCAATCATATGGCATGATGGGGAATGAGATGGACTCAATGACCTCTTGAGGTCTCCTCCAGCCCATTCTATGAATGAGATCTGGAATCTGGCGTCTGTGGGATTGGCTTCACTAGAAAGCTAGACCATGTCTGAACAAGGCCTTGAGGAATCGTATTAACTAACACAATGTTAAAAGCAGCTTTGTAGTCAAATGTAGGCACAGACAAGTCATATTTCACATGATGTCTACTGCTCAAGAGTAAAGGCTATTGGAAACCATGGCATTCACCAAACCAGTAGACAAAACATGAAACACAGCTTGCCTGTGTCTACGCTGTCTGAAATATTATATGTAACATCATGTCAATTAACACAGCTCCTCAAAGTCCTGTTCTATATAATGAGGTCAGGTTAGAAAAGACAACCCCTAAGAAACAAACTTCACTCCAGCACCAGCTGAGCACCTGAGCTATTACCCTCCAGCTGAGCATCAGGATGGTCAAGGAAAATAGTACAGATTTTTCCTCCTCTTGGGCATCAAAGTCAGCCCCAAGTCAACGGGACGGATGGCACAATCAACACAATCAACAGTGACATAGAGGCTCACGGAATCCTGCCTCTATGTCACTGACTCCAGGTCTGTAGTGGGCAAAGTCTGTTTCCATCCTGAAGACTATTTGATTGCTTGTATGAAATGAGTCAGTCGGTAGGTCCTCAGTCCAACTAGGACAAATATCTGAGCCATTAAAACTCACCATTCCAGTGACTGAAATCTCCTCTTTGGAGGTCTTGATAAAGAGAGGTGTGTCATTATGCCTGTGCTGGGATGCACAAATCTTCATTCTCCAAGACCTACCAAAGTGGCACATTCAGTGCACTGCAGATGTCAGACCAATGTGGCTATATTGCTTGCTTATAGGATCTATGGAGGATTTCCTTAATGCAATAACCCTCTCGATTCCCTGTACCTGTTTGTCCTGGTTTATAGATGGGCTTGTCTGTCTGGACAAAGCACAAGCTCTCGGAGTTCTTGACCAGCACTGACTTCCGGCTCTTGAACTCCAGCGTCGGCCCCTTCACCAGCACCGTAAGAAACGCTGCTGCCGAGCTGTTAGACTTAGGAAGCTAGAGAACAGTGAAAATGCAGCTGTCTTAGAGCAGTGTTTCTTAAACTGGGTTCCACGGCACACCTGTGTGCCACGAGGTAGTTGGCGGTGTACCATGGAGAACAACAGAGATTTAAATGGCTGCCCTTAAGGGGGCAAAGGGGCAGGTGACCTTTTTTTATTCAATAACTTCCCCCCAACCTTTTTTTTTTTTTTTTGGTTAACAAAAATCCTTGGTGGTCCTCATAAAAAAAATGATTGTTTGGTGTTCTTCAGTCTTAAAAAGTTTAAGAAACATGGTCTTAGAAACTTCCCTTAACAGCCTCTTTCACTGAACCTGCCTTTGTGAGATGAGGGCTGTCTGGGAAACCATCACAGACACACCACAGTGGTGACAAGGACAAGATCAGGAGCACCCAAGCTGAGCTCTCCTATTTCCACATTCCCACTAGTATCCCTTCTAGCCTCCTGCTCTGGGTGCTTGACAGCAAAAGAGACTACACCAGCCTTCCCCACCCCTGTCGTTCTGTCTCTGACAAATTTCCCCTTCGTATCCTCATTGTTTCTTGCCATCTGCAGAGTTTGAGAATAAAAACCCTTCCTCCTGTCATAGTCTTACTCCAAAGGGATATATGACTCTCCCCCACATATGTATGGAAATATGTTTTAGAATATGAATATGCATAAGTCAAATATGCTTTAAGCAAAACAGGGCAAGTGACATGTTGTCGAATATGCTTTAAGCAAAACAGGGCAAGTGACATGTTCAAGAGCTTGTAAGCCCCTGAATGTGTATACTCTACTTCTGTGCATGTATCAGTCTTGTATGTAAAGTTAGAAATATAAACTGTAAACCTGTTTTTTAACCTAGGTCATTAGTGGTACTTAAAGAACTTAATTTGTGAATAGTCTTGTTTTTCTGGTAGGCCTGGATTCTGATTGATCCTACAAAGACAGGACCTGCTGCTGGAATCCATCTTCAATTTTGTATTATTCCTGGAGGGAGGCAGGTGAATTGAAGAAAGAGTTCCTACCCAGGGAAAATTCTATTTAAGAGGTGGGAAACAAAGAATGATTGGCTTCACAGACTGCTCCCCATCACAAGTGAGCACATGAAAAGATCTGGAATGAAAAAATCTCTAATGAAGGAAGAAGCTGTTAGACCCCAGTCACAAAAAAGATCAGTTCTGGCTTGAAGAATTTTACCTGAAATGAGAACTAGGCTGAGAATTAGGATTTGTAACACTTGCATAGATCATAGAATCCTTGGGCTGGAAGAGACTAAGGAGGTCACCAAGTCCAACCCCCTGCCCAAGGCAGGACCAACCCCAACTAAATCATCCCAGCCAGGGCTTTGTCAAGCCGGGACTTAACCTCTAGGGATGGAGATTCCACCCTCTCCCTAGGGAACCCATTCCAGTGCTCCTAGGGAAATAGTTTTTCCTAATAACCAACTTAGGTCTCTCCCACTGTAACTTGAGACCATTGCTCCTCATTCTGTCATCTGTCAGCACTGAGAACAGCCTCACTCCATCCTCTTCAGGTCGTTGAAGGCTGTTATCTAATCCCCCCTCACTCTTCTCTTCTGCAGACTAAACAAACCCAAATCCCTCAGCCTCTCCTCATAGGTCATGTGTTCTAGCTCCCTCATCCTTTTTGCTACTCTCTACTGGACTTCCTCCAATGTAGCCACACCCTTTTTGTAATGGAGACCCAGAACTGGATGCAATACTCCAGATGTGGCCTCACCACAGCCAAATTAGCTGTCAAGGCTACAAGGGCACATTGTTGACTCATATGCAGCTTCTCCTCTGTTGTAATCCTCATGTATTTTTATGCCGAATTGCTGCTTGGCCAGTTGGTCCCCAGCCTGTAACAGTGGTTGGGTTTCTTCTATCACAAGTGCAGGACTCTGCACTTGTCCTTGTTGAACCAAATCAGATTTCTTTTGGCCCAATCCTCCATTTTCTCTAGGTCATTCCGGACCCTATCCCTGCCCTCCAATGTATCTACCTCTCTCCCAAGCTAGGTGTCATCTGTGAACTTCCTGAGGGTGCAGTCCAACCCCTCAGCTAGGTCACTAATAAAGATGTTGAACAAAACCAGCCCTAGAACCTATCCTTGGGACATACCACTTGAAACTGACCACCAACCAGTCCCAGAATCATATGTGAAAGTACATAGCAAGAGCTGGCAAGAGCTGGCAAGAGCTGCCTGAGCTGTGGCAAAAACCAGCAGGGAGCTATTTAAAGAGCTGGCAGGGACCCAGGTTACAATAGGACAGTCCCTGTAAGAAATTTTAAGTTACTTTCACCCCTTCCCAGAACCAATCCTTGGGGCACTCTGTCTGATATTAACCACCATCCAGACATCGAGCCACTGATCACTACCCATTGAGCCTGACAATCTAGCCAGCTTTCTATCCACCTTACATTCCATTTATCCAATCCATACTTCCTTAACTTGCTGGCAAGAATATAGTGGGAGACCATATCAAAAGCTTTGCTAAAGTCCAAGTATATCACACCCACTGACTTCCACATGTCAACAGAGCCAGTGACCTCATCAAAGAAGCTAATCAGATTGGTCAGGCATGACTTGCCCTTGGTGAATCCATGTTGACTATTCCTGATCACTTTCCCCTCTTCCAAGTGCTTCAAAATGGATTCCTTGAGGATCCCCTCCATGATTTTTCCAGGGACTAAGGGAAGGCTGACTGGTCTGTAGTTCCCTGGATTGTTCTTCTTCCCTTTTTTTAAAGACGGGCACATTTGCCTTTTTCCAGTCATCCAGGACTTCCCCCAATCACCAAGAGTTTTCAAATATAATGGCCAAAGGCTCTGAAGTGACATTTGCCAACTCCCTCAGTACCCTCAGATGCATTAAATCTAGCTCCATGGCTTTGTGTATGTCTAGCTTTTCTAAAGAGTTCTTAATCTGTTCTCTCTTCACCGAGGGCTGCCCAACCCCCTCCCATACTGTTTTGCCTAGTGCAGTAATCTGGGAACTGACCTTGTCTGTGAAGACAGAGGCCATCCAAAAAAAATTGAGCACTTCAGCTTTACCCACATCATCTGTCTTCTCCTTCATCCAGTAAGGGTCCCACACCTTCCCTGACCACTCTCTTATTGCTAACACGTCTGTAGAAACCTTTCTTGTTACCCTTCACATCCCTTGCTCGCTGCAATTCCAATTGCATTTTGGTCTCCCTGATCACTCCCCTGCATTCTTGAGCAATATATTTATACTCCTCCCTGGTCATCTGTCCAAGTTTCCACTTGTTATAAGCTTCCCTTTTGTGTTTAAGCTCACCAAGAGGATTGCCTACTATATTTGCTTTTCTTACTGCGCATCAAGATGATTTCTTCCTGTGCCTTTAATAAGGCTTCTTTAAAATGCTGCCAGCTCTTCTGGACTCCTTTCCCCTTCATGTTAGCATTCCATGGAATCCTGCCTATCAGTTCTCTGAGGGAGTCAAAGGCTGCTTTTCTGAAGTCCAGGGTGTGTATTTTGCTACTCTCCCTTCGGTCAGGATACTGAAATCAACGATTTCATGATCACTGCTTCCCAGATTGCCACCCACATCTAGGGTATGTCTGGACTACAGAGCTTTTTTGGGATACCTCTGCCGTGTCCAAGGAACGTGTCTGCTTTTCCGAAAAAAATATCAGAAAAGCAGACACATTTTTTTGGCATCCCTGGAAACCTCAGTGTAAATCAGTGTAGATGGGCCAATTGTTGGAAAAGTCTCTTTCGGAAGAAAAGTGGAAAAAGATATGCAAATTGCAGTTCACAATTTCCAAATTGCGTTAGAACTTCGTGGTCTAGACTCAGCCCTACTTCCCCTACTAGTTCCTCCCTGTTTGTGAGCAGCAGGTCAAGTTGTACATGGCCCCTGATTAGTTCCTTCAGCACTTGTACCAGGAAGTTATCCCCAACATTCTCCAAAAACTTCCTGGATTGCCTGTGTACTTCTGTATTGATCTCCCAACAGATGTCAGGGTGATTGAAGTCCCCCATGAGAACCAGGGCCTGCGATCCGGCAGCTTCTCTCAGTTGTCTGAAGAAAACCTTGTCTGCCTCATCCATCTAATCTGGAGGTCTATAGGGCTACGTCTAGACTGCAAGCCTCTTTCGAAAGAGGCTTTTTCGAAAAATACTTTCGAAAAAAGAGCGTCTAGACTGCAAGCAGTACTATCGAAAAAGCAAGCCGCTTTTTTGAAAGAAAGCACCCAGGCAGTCTGGATACTCTCTTTCGAAAAAGCCCTGTTTGCATTCAAGAACGCCTTTTTTCGAAAGAACACTTTCGAAAAAAGGCATTCTTCCTCGTGAAATGAGGTTTTCCACCGTCGAAAGAAAAGCCGCGTTCTTTCGATTTAATTTTGAAAGAACGCGGCTGTAGTCTAGACACAGGTGAAGTTTTTTCGAAAAAAGGCTACTTTTAAAAAAAAAACCTGTAGTCTAGACACACCCGAGGAGTCAAGCCATGGCCAATAACCAGAGCTAGGGGCTGGAGTTGGAGTTAGGCAAAGAGCAGCCTGGAGCAAGACAGGCACAAGAGTGAAGAAAGCTATGGGCAGAAGCCATGAGCAGCCAACAATCTGCTGTTTAGCTCACATGCAGAACTGCTGCCTCCTCTTAGCCAAATCTGATAATTTTGCCACATCCCTGATGGGCTCCTTAACCTACCTGAAGACTGAATCTGCTCACTCCAGGATCAGTCCAGGGACTTGGGGCTAGGGTCCAGACAAATGTGGTTGAACAAAGTAGCATAGCAAGGACTGAAAGGACTGGTGATGGGATTTGGAGCCTTTTGCAGGTTTCAGTATGGTCCAAGACAGTAGTGAACTAATGTTATCCTTTGGCAATTGAGTTCTCTGCTTTTCCCCATTATAGAAACCAAGGTCATAACTGATCTCTTGCTTGACAGTCTCATCAAAGAGATCAAGGGGCATATGGGTTTGGAGAGAGTCCACCCAGAAGATGGCTTCTCCAAGACAGGGCTGATATACAGTGATA